CATACATACATACATATATACGTGTGTGTATGTTATGACTTTTTGTTGTTAGTTTTCTATATATGTATACACCCCTCTATCTATCTATCTATCTATCTATCTACCTAACTATCTATCTATCTATCTAGCTAGCTAAAGATACATATATATATATATATAATGCATTCATGTGTAAACATCCAATATATGCAAGGCCTCTGGCCCATCGCTTCGACGCATTGGCACGCGAAGCCGCCATCACAGCTGGGGCGCGGCTCCTGATTTACCTGTGGAGGTTGCTAGGTCGGGTCTTAGGGGAAGGGTTTGCTGTTCAGGGGCAAGGTTTTGGCTATAGGGCCTATAGAGTTTAGCTCGGGTCCTAGGTCAAGTTCAGGCTGATGATGAAGATGATGTTGAAAGTGTCAGTTAACATGGTTTGAGGCAACATGATGGCTCTATTCCATGATGGATACTGTTCTATCTTGTTATGATATGGTGACTTTGGTGATGGTTATGCTGTGGCATGTGGCGCCACTGTGTCAACAATTGTCAAGGATGTTGCTGGTTGTTCGAACCCAATGGTTTAAGCTCGTCGTAGCCGAGTTCCCACAGTCCCAAGTTCAAGATGTTTCTCATGTCCTACTACACAGCTTCATGACTATAAACCCAATTCTCCAACTGCCGAATATTACTATACAACTGATCCTGTGGAAGTACTGAGTCCTTTGGACCCTTACGCTAAAGCTGCCCAGGCTTTACAGACCCAGATGGAGTTTGTCGTCATGCAGATGCTAGTGGTGAAGTCTCTGGTCCCTTCGAAGCAGTGTTTCAGGGTCCTAAGGTGGTTCGGATTTATCGAGGGACGATGTGGGTTGGAGAGGAGAACGTTTAGGGTCCTTGGGTTTTGATAGGGGTTCAGGGTTTCGGGTTTAGGGCTATGCCCGTCATTGCCACTTCCCCCGTTTCAGCGTTTGTCGCGTAGCTGTCGGTGTGACAAAGATGTGCGGTTGCGGGTTGCTTCAGGCTGAGTCATGGCCTTGGGACGAGCCGTAGAGTAACCTTTCGATAGCCTTATAACGCCCTTATGGTGCCCTTGCAGTAATATAGGGGCCTGGATAATTACCTATAATTTTTATTTTGGGGGCTCCTTATTCTGATTATAGTATAATGGGCCCCCAAACCCTATTCTAATCATTAAGGCCCCTTACATTAACCTTGCAAGGACCTTCTGACTAATGGCCTCTGCGTTCTTTTCAACTTGGAGCCCTGGGTATGGACCGGGCTTGGTGCATTGCGGTTTCCACGGTCTTGCAAGCCTCCATGTCGAGATTTCCGTCGTTTGCTCTGTCCGCGCACACAGAAGAGGTCTAAATGATGTATGCAGCACCTCAGGCGCTTGATCTTATCTTGGGGTGTAACGCTCCAAAATGGTAATGTATATGAGCCGTAGACCCCGAAACCCTAAATGCAAAACCCTAAACCATCCAAAACCCCTATATAGGAATTATTAATATCCTCGGAGTCTCAGGGTTTCACATTGACGCGGTGCCACTTTCCAAGGGCCAACACATAGAGTGAAACTTTTTCACTTTTTCGGAAGCCGAAAAGCACCCGAACTGGTTTAGGGTTCAGGTGTTTGGAGCACCGAGACCGCGACCCACCCTAAATCGTATAATGTAGGGGCTTTAGATAATTAGATTAGGGTTTGGGGGTACTGTATGGAATGATTATAATAAGGAACCCCCCAAACAAAAAATCGTATAGGTAATTACTAAGGCCCGTATATTATCTCTGAACTTCCTCAAGAACATCCTCGTTAAGGTCCCGGAGCACACACCGAGAATATGGTCTCATCTATAAAAAATCGCAAACCCTAAACCCTATCTCAACCCAACAAAAGCCCCTTAAACCCTGAACCCGAACCCTAAACCCTACACCTCTGTATAAACCCTCAAACCTCAGATAAACCCTAAAAAGAGCCCGGCTGAGGGGACCCCTGAACCCTAAACCCTGAACCCTAAACCCTAAACCCTAAACCCCAACCTGAGGCTCAGTTCTCTTTGCCTCTCCCGCAGACGCTTGTGACGTTTGGTGGCGCGAGGTCTCGGAGGAGAGTTCAGGGTTTTAGGGGATTTAGGGGTTTAGGGGTTTAGGGGTCTTAGGGTTTATAAAGGTTATAGGATTTTTGGGTTTTAGGGTTTAGGATTTAGGCTTAAATCTAGGGGTTTAGGGCTTAGGGTTTTGCAGGATGAACTTTTGGGTCTCCTTTAGGGTCTCAGGGAAGAGGTTTAGGGTTTAGGGTTTAGGGTTTAGGGTTTAGGGCTCAAGGAATAGGGCTGTTAAGAGCTTACTTAATAGGGGTTTGGGGCGCTTTTTGTTGGTTCAGAGCTTTAGGGCCCAAACTTCGAAGTTTAGGGTCTACGGTTGGGAACCCACGGCTCAGGGTCGAAGCTGGAAGTTTTGGATCGCGTCTACAGTTTTTTGGGTTTAGGGGTTTAGGGTTTAGGGTTTAGACCACTACCCTAAAATTACAGAAGGTGTAGATTGTGTCAAGGTATTATGTTGTCCGATTGGTTGTTCCGTGAATTGATGGCAAGTACCGAGCATCCCAATGCAATCATAACGACCGGACAGTAGCAGCTTCTGTCTTTGTGACGTCTAGACACATTCTGAGTCTGAGATGACTGGTGCAGGATGTCATACCACCCACGCCAGAGTTGACCATGCCTTTGTGGGAGGCGGGGCCATGCTGGACCATGGGCAGGTCATGCTTGATTTTGAGGATGCTGCAATGTGCAACAGTAAAAATGTTGAACTTCGGTGTTGGCAGTTAGACGTGACCCCAAACCCAAGCCACACATATCTCTCTCTCTATACGCAAGCCTATCCCGTTTGGTTGAGGTCCCTACATTGAAGGTTGGGCCATTCTCATGTGCAAGAGTCTAAGAGGGAAGCTCGCGTCTTCTTCGGGCCTGAGGAGCACCGGACCCCATGATCTCATACCTGTAGGGTTTAGGGCTTATAGGCCTTAAGGGCTCCCTAATGTAGAGGCCTTAATAATTAGAATAGGCTTTTGGGGCCTTTTATACTCTAATTATAAATCAGGAGCCCCCAAAATAGTCTAGGCACTTATTTATAGGCCCCAACAGTAACCCTAAACCCTAAACCCCTAAGCCCTAAACCCTAAACCCTAAACCCTAAACCCCTAAACCCCTAAACCCTAAACCCCGAAGCCCTACACCCCTAAACCCAAAGCCCCTAAACCCTAAACCCCAAACCCATAAACCGTACAGTAATAAGGTGACACAGTTTAGGGCTTAAGGTGTAGGTGAGCATTCTAGGAAGCAGTTCGTTTACAAACATAGAGTTTGAGGGGGTAGTAAAGATTGGGGTTTACAGAACAAGAATCAAGCTAGAGGACTCAGACCCAAGTCATCTAGCTTCAATGCACTTTTTGGAGCAGTTCTCGGCTTGCCACGCGCGATTTTCTCACATCGGTTTTGAAGAAAAAACCGCTTAAAGGCTCCGTAGTGTACCAAGTCTTGTAAGTAGGGCGTCGGGTCTTGTCAGCCTTTAAAGGCTAAAACGTTGCGAGTCCGTTAAAGGTGTAGTGTTTAGGGTTTAGGGTTTAGGGTTTAGGGGTTTAGGGTTTAGGGTTCAGGGTTTAGGGGTTTAGGGGTTTAGGGTTTAGGGTTTAGGGTCCTTCACGACCGAGCCCCGTCCGAACAAAGACTGAACTCCCGTTTTTTGGTGCGTAAATCTGTCTTCGGCAAGGATGGCGAGGCATTAAGCACGGAGGCAAGCCGGATTGTTGCGGTTTGGGGTTTAGGGTTTAGGGTTCAGGGTTTAGGGTGTTCAGGGTTCGGGACGTATCGAAGCTTGTGCTGACTGCGTTGTGCCATGAATGGCTGGCGGGTCTTGAGGGCAGCCAGCAATAGTGTCGTCTGGTAAACAGGCCAGGCGTGTCAGAGATGAGCGTCTCAGATAACCAGGGGTCCATGTAGGTAAGAAGCTTCCAAGATGTATCACGATCATGTAAGCAAGACAGTGGTTTGAAGGGAGACGCAGCAAACTTGTAAACGTACCAAGGATTGGCGTCACATGGCAGACTGGCAGACTAGATTGTCCTCGCGCGTGTCGAATTAATTGTCATCAGTGAAATCTCCTAAGCCCGGAACCCTATGAACCTTACATGGATCCTAAGAAACCTACCGTTTTGGGATCCTTTCTTATGATTTCCTCACAAAATTTGCTAAACAAAGTAGGTAGGTTTTTAGGGTCTGGGTACCCCTAGGCCCCATAGTAGTTCTTTTTTGGGATTACCTAGTAGGATCCTGAATATAAGCCACAAAAAGGACCCTAAACCCTAAACCCTAAACTACTATGGGGCCTATGGGTAAACCCCTCGTAGATGCTTTGTGAGTTCCTGTTTGCGCTGCCAGGGCGGTCGGCCAAGGTACCCATGTCAGCCTCAAAGGGGAGCATTATGGGAGCCAGCAGGAGCCGGAGTGAAGGGTTTAGGGTTTATTTAGAGTTTATGGCCTAGGGTTTGTCAGGGTTTATAGGCTTTAGGGAAATGTATCCCGAATCGTCTATATACAGTCACTGTACATGTCCATGATCCAAGTCTCACGGCTTTGTTTGGCGCCGTCAAGCCCACAACTCTAAAGCCTGGAGTCCTACACCCGCAAGCCGGGTTTAAAGTTCAGGGGCCGTAAACCCCTAGAGCTTAACCTGCACTGTCAGGCTGGAGACAAGCTTGGCCTTTGCCGCATTGCGGGCGCCGGCGAGGGTGGTCGGGCGCTTTTGGGTACGATCGTGCTGGAAGGCGGGCAGCCTTCCCCTAAACCCTAAACCCTAAACCCTAAACCCTGAACCCTGAACCCTAAACCCTAAACCCTAAACGGTGTGTTTAGTCCCGGCGGTCGGGAGTCGAGTGGAAGTCTGTTATCGGGGGTTTTTGGGCGGGGGCTTAAGGCAAGGGACTGGGTGATTGAGGGGAGCTAAAGCAAAACCAAAATTGAATCAGGATCGGGCGAGTTCTGAACCCTTTTAGGTCCTAGGCAACCAAAGCGCAGTTCCCTCTGTCGAGGAACGTTATGGCATGGTATCCAAGAGCTTGAAAAACTGTCCCTCCTCTACTTGATGACTCCAACTTTGGTGTCCTTAAACCGTGATACCTAAACCCTGGACCTAAATCCCCAAAACCCCAAGCCCTGCCTCAAATCATGAGCTTACTCCTTGCGATGCGTGTCCTTCCTTTGCTCGGCATGATTAGTCGAATTCGGACACGAACCTCATTAAACCAGACAGGTGCAAATGCTGAGGTTCCGGCTTGTCCGCAAGTCCAGTAGCCAAAAGGGTTTCTGATTTGCGGCATCTTATAACATACCGGAAAACCTGATGCTGAGTAGAAGAAGATGACGGAAGTACCGAACACTATATATTGGTCTGAAATCTGCGGATGCCAGCCTGCCAAAATAGCCACAACAAATCCAGTCAGTATGATGGCTGCTTCAAGCACACGCCCTAAATCCTGTACCCCGAACCTCTTTGGGCAGGCCCTGACATGGGAATTTGCCACTTCGTGGCTCGGCCGATGCAGAGAAGAGCTCTAAGGCGGAGGAAAGCAGCAGGATGGAGTGATACATGTGCGTACGCATGTGTATACGAAACACCAGCGTACCCCGCTTACGTACCCGTATGCAACATAAATTTCTATACACAGTACTGCTTACCCAGAGTTTATCCATGCCTTGTTCTGCACAAAGTCGTCCAAGCCGTATGCAGCGATGCAGATAAAACATACAAGCACGGCATTCATGTATTCAGGTCTGTATCTACCGAGAGTGGGGGTGGTTTGTTCTGGTGTGTGTGTGTGTGTGTGTTCATGTCTTCGTGCTTGGCGCTTGCCGTTGTGAACATTGTGAGCAGAGCTGTTGCATCTACAGTTGTTCTATGGATTGGATCTGAACTGTTCCTGCCCATCTCTATCAGCCCAGAAAGGTGTCGACCTGGATCTTGTGTATTCATACAACACTCGATGTGTCTGCCAACTTGTCTGCCTTACTCTGGTTGAATCCCTCTGGGTGGTTCCTCTTTGTATCTATGCCTGTCTACAAGGGCGTGCGAGGCTGCTGTCTGTTTAGTGCGCAGGATGCAAGGTCTATTGTTTCAAGGGTTTAGGGTTTAGGGTTTAGGGTTTAGGGGGGTTTAGGGTTTAGGGGTATCGCATGTGGACGACGGTTGTTGCAAAGTCAGATTTCCTTTAGCACGTGAACGGTACTGGGTCTCGGAGTGGGCCCTTTTTCCCTTTTTGAAGTCGAAGGTTCCTTAGAAAGGTACCCAATACCAATAAGGGAGCCCCGTTTCAGCCAGAGTATCTTAAATCCACCGAACTTGCTGAATCCAAAACCGGAGTCTCTCCCTGGGGCTCCAAATACCCCAAAGTATGTATTATTTGCAGATTTCAGACCCCCCAAGTAGGTACTATTTGTATACCCTAAACCTTATAAACCCTAAACCCTAAACCGATACTTGGAGCCCTAGGGTCTGACAGATTCAGATGACCAGGTCTCTGGGCCCGGAGCGACCCTAAACCTGAACCCTAAACCCTAAACCCTAAACCCTAAACCCTAAACCCTAAACCCTAAACCCAGTACAAGATTCAAGCCCTGGGCCGCCGTCGTTCAGCTCTTTGATTCCTTTCTGAGCCTTTTAAAGGCACGTCCTGTGGAGTTTAGGACCCTAGTAACCCTAAGCCCTAAATCCCTATAGTTTTGACAGGGCTTTGCCGTCGATGTTGGGCAGCTTAGGACTCTTATAGTGGAGCTTTGCAACTTGAAGGCGAGATCTTCTGCAAACTCAGGCCCTGGTACAGAAGGAAGTAGCACCGAGCGCTACACCCTAAACCCAAAAAGCTATGCCCTAGACCTTAACCCTGAACCCTTTAAAACATCCACCCTAAACCGGAAGCCACAAGCCCTGGGTCATGTGCATGCAAGGTCACTCCATCTGGTGAAGCCAAGGTGGCTGCAGGGATGAGTTCAGTTTGAACCCTAAACCCTAAACCCTAAACCCTAAACCCTAAACCGACGGCTTCAGCCGTTTCGGAGGATCTTTTTTTGGGGTTAGGGTTTGGGGTTTAGGGTTTAGGGTCTAGGGTTTAGGTCTCCAACCTCAATGGTTAAGCATCTTCTGGGCATAAAGACTAGGCCCTGATCTCTTAAATCTTACGTAACCACCGAGGGATGGAGATGTATGACAGACTTCAAGGCTCAAAAGATTGCAAATCCGATAAGGAAGGTTTAGGGTTTAGGGTTTAGGCTTTAGGGTTTAGGGTTTACGACTACTGCGCGCTTGAAAATGTAAGAGCCTGTGCTTGATTTAATTGTTGGGTTCAGGGTTCCATGGGGGGGACTTCGATGGAGGTACGCCGACGTAAGCATCCGTCTCCAATGTTAGGTTCTAGAGCGGTTCAGAACATGTTTCGGGTGCTGCCCGAAATCCTTCACCCTCCCTGGCCCGGAAAAAGCCCACCTCTTTAAGCACTTTTATAAGGAAGTCAAAGTCAGAAACCCTAACAAGGTATGTATTTAATTATTTGGGGCTTGCCTAAAGTCTGAAAGCATACATCGGTTGAAGTTGTACGGCGGCTGAAGGGTTGACCTGTTGGTATACCATCCAGCAGCTAGATCCGTGCAGAGACGGACAATTTAGACACGGCCTCCAAGAACTTTTCTACTTGTTGCGGTCCCTAAAGTGCTGTTTCAAACGGTCCTGCTTGCTCACAAAGCCTGTGTGTTTGAGCCTGGCTGGAGTTTCCCCAGACTTCCAGCTACATAGTAGTCTGTTTTCGAGGTTACTCTAGCGGGGCTCCAACCCCTAAACCCTAAGCCCTAAGCCCTATTAACCCCCAAGGCCTTAACCCCCTAAACCCTAAACCGCCTAAACCCCCTTAAGCCCTATAAACCCCTACACCCTAAACACCCTAAATACCCTAAACACCCTAAACCCCTAAACCGTGTTTGGGCTGGGTTCCAACCCCAACGCCCTGAACGAGGAGCTGGTGGGTGGCCTTTTCCATATCCTTCAGGCCGTGAGCCCTCCAGAGCTTCTGCTTCTCCAGGGTTTAGGGCTTGGGGCCTATAGGGTTCAGGGCTTAGGGTTCAGGG